AGTTCTGTGTGTGTAATAATACAACTGTAGTAGTGTAGAGAAAGTGGATCAGCAAATGAATTCAAGCCTTGTGGTTGAAAACATGTGAACAAAACTACCTGTGCTGTATATAGCAGCCATTCAGCTTCGGGTCTCATTTTCTAATCTGCCTCAAAAACTTAAAAGCTAGAATATGAGAGGCCACTGTAGACAGACTTTCACACTGTTTTAGTCATGAGGTTTAAGGAAAAGTGCGAAAAAGAAAATACAACCTCTTTGAATTCTATGGCTTTATAGTACCAGGACATAATAGAAATAATCTGGTCCTCAGCAGGTCTTAATATTAGGTACAACCTCAAATGAACAACAGCACATGACATATTACACTGCGCCATTATTTATTTTACAAACAAAGCCAAAATGGAGATGTTTTGTGTGAAAAATTAAGTACACCCTTACTGTTTTCATAGGCTAAGTAGCAGCCAGGTGCTCTTGATTAATTGCTCATCAGTAAGGCCCCATTCACACAGTGTAGAGTGGGGCCATATAGATCCCTTCTGCGTGCACGGCCGTATAGGGCCGTTCCCGAGAAGGAGAGGTGCTGCGTGTGATTGTACCCGTTCGGGTGTCCGTACAGGGACAGAATGGATTCTGTGTGCGTCCGAGCACGGACACCTGCACCCGCATGGATGTGCAGCTCGGGTGAGCGTACGACATAGGGAAGAACAGGCTGCTGCATACAAATTACATGCAGCACCTGTCCTTCGAAGGAACGACCCCATACAGCCGTGCACTCCGCATGGATCTGTATGGATGTGTATGGCCCCAATCTACGCTGTGTGAATGAGGCCTAAGTGTGACCAGTTCTATAAAAGTCAAAGTTTTAGCAGTTTGCTCATCTGGAGCATTCAGGTGTGTGTGTTAATACAATGTAATGGAGGAAAGACATCAGCAATGATCTTAGACAAGCAATTGTTGTTGACCATGAAACTGATAGGTGTTACAATGCAATTTCCAAACAATTTATAGTCCATGATTCTACAGTGAGGAAGAATATTCACAAGAGGAAAACATTCAAGACACGGTATAAATAGAATAATAATTGCATTTACCTAATTTTAAGACCTGATAAGGACCAGATGATTTTTATTATGTCCTGATACTTAAAACCATAGAATCCTGAAGACCCTTTCTCCCTGTGTTCAAGCCTCGAGCATGGCGTGGAAGATTTTACTTCTCCCCCACCATTCATTCGACCCGCTGCATACTCTATTTTCCCCATTAGAGGCTCTCAGAGCTCTGCTCCCCTCTTTATCCCTACGGGATTGGACATCCAGAGGGATCCGCCATATACAAGATTTGCTACTAGACGGTAAAATGCATTCCTTCCCCACCCTGTCTCTCCGCTATGGCCTACCCCCCAGTTGTTTCCTCCAGTATCTCCAAATTAAGCATGTTCTAAATTCCAATCCCCATGTTTCTTGCAAAATACCTTTCCCAGCATGGAGGTTTTACTTCGAGAACTCACCTAAGAGGGGGGGAATATCACTGTTCTACTCTCTACTGTATAATAAAACGTCCTTTAACAAGGTTAAGCCTTTTGAGAAATGGGAAGGAGCCCTCAACAGTACTTTCACCGAGAGCCAGTGGCTACAGGTTCTCTCTTGTACACTTAAGACTACTAGATGTGTGGAATTATGGGATCTACACTACAAAATATCTTTACAATGGTACTATACGCCACACAGGTTGGCCAAGATGTTTGCTTCATCATCCCCTTTGTGCTGGAGGGGCTGCGGACGTGAGGGCACCCTGCATCACATTCTATGGGAGTGCAAGCACCTGGCGAACTTTTGGAGGGCAACCTTTCAGATCATAACTGACATCACCGGAATACTTATTGCCCTATCACCTGCCCTGGCGGTCCTCTCTCTGGGGATTGAACACTTCCCAGCAAAGGTCAGGCACTTAATTACACATATACTGTTGGCAGCCAGACTTACTATTGTCAGGAAGTGGAAGAATGTGATCCCCCCCACATTTGGTGAAGTCCTATCCATAGTGAAGCTCCATTACCATCATGAAAAACTTATAGCGTACAGAGAGGGTTCATTATCAAAATTTGAGAATAAGTGGCTCCCATGGGTCCAATGGTCGGACACAAAAATGCCAGAGTTTGCTCCTTATAGAGCTGGAATATGTTAGACCTTATATTAGCATGATTATGGAACATCTGGTCGCAATTGCTAGACTGAATGCTTTGAGATGAGCCTTCATTATGTTTACTCAATGCTGTGGAATATATGCTGCCCGCAACAACTATATGATGACTTCTATTTGTGTATGCTTTTATTTTATGTTCTTGTCATGTTTTTCTATTTTGTATTTACTTACTTTGTTATTGAATTAAGACAGAAAATTTCAATAAAAATGTATTGTTTAAAAAAAACCAAAACCATAGAATCCAAAGAGGGTATACTTTCTCTTTCACACAACTGTAACCTGCAGCAGGAAAGGAGAGGTTTTGGAACCAATAACTGAATATAACGTATCAGAAATAACTAAAAGAGATTAGGTAAACAAATATTCAAGTCACAATACTATGGATGCACCCTCTCTTCTGATGTTATAAACAGGACAGGATGGGCTGAAATGAGAGAGAAATACAGGATAAGGTATGGATGAACTAAGAATTCTATCTCCTTATCATTAAAACCTTGTGTTGTTTTATTTATAATATTTAATGGTAAATCCAAGCCTATTTACATGTGTTAATATTTTTCACACCTTGCTTCCTTTTATCATTTTAATTGTCTACTGAACGTGACATTATATAGATTTTCCCATATAGTCATATAGATATAAATTTACACAGGCTACACTACCTGCTTAGTAATGCAGCATAGTCCCATACGTGTTCCCTCTCAAACTTGGATGGGACTCTGCCAGATAGAGGTCCATTCTATATGTCATATTATTTATTGTAGCTGTTGTTCAACAAGGACACTGACTGCACTGACATATGGAGAGTTACACAGAAGGAAAAGCTGTATATATAAAATAAAGCCATACAACTATGACACGCCAACAATTTAAAGCGAAACTAAGCTGTCAACTGCCAATCATTATGGCTGACGTACTTCTGTGTTTGCCCTCCTCCACCATTGATAGTTGCATGCTATCCCGAGCCACTCTGCCCAGTGTCTTAACTCATAGCAAAATCTTTTGTCTTAACAAAATGACTAGGAGAAAGATTTATTTGGCAGAAGAGATTTATTCTGGCCATACACTGGTCGTTTTTAAAAGAAAATCATGGATGGGGCAATCCTCCATCAGCTATTGTATTCTGACATTGGTGGGTGTGCTGCTGGCAGAAAACCTTAACAGTGACAGCAGCTGATTGCTGCCACTGTTCAGCCAAGATTTTTTGAGGTAGCTGGGCAAGTGCTCTGCAGCCAGGTGAGAGGCTCTGCACTGTCATAATTGGCAGGTGGGCAGCTGTGCACCAGCCTAATAGAATGCAGATTCTGCACAAGACTCAGCTACTTTGGGGAGCACCTCCCTGATTTCTACTACAGTACTCCAGTTCCAGTGGGGTGGCCCATTGTCCTTAGGCCTTGGATTCCTCCAGCTTCTAACCTGTATTACCAGAGCTACCCTGGACTTCACTGAGACGAATGTTGTTTATGAGGATAATCACATGTAGCTGTTTGTGTTCTGAACTGTTTTACTGAAGGAGTTCTTATAGAGTCTTATAGAGATGCAGCCACATGTTACCCTGATCGAGTCACAGAGACGTTGCTGTGAAGAGTCCATGTCCATTCAGCCTTCAAAATCAGACTCTGCAGTGTATGCATGCTCTTTGCCAGCAGCAATATGTTTTTCATTATTCCTCAGTGTCTGCATGCTTCTGTCCATTCTAAACCTGGTGTGATATATTGCTTACCTGTTTAGTAAACTACAAGTACATCTTCCTGTCTGATCATTTGGCCAATTACCTAGTCTGTTAAAATTGCAATCCATCAGGATTTAAACTTGGTTCAAACTTGCAATACATCAGGATTTAAACTTGGTTCATATCTCAGCTGAGGAAGTAGGTTGCATGCGGAAAAGTAAAATAGGAAAGACAATTTTACCTTTGGTGAGCTCTATATCTGGTCTGATATTGCTTTTTCAAACCTTAGAAGCACACAGCAAGTGTTTAAAGCAGAACTGCAGGCAAACATCTGAATACACATATGTTATGCATATATGGGAGCAGTTTTATCTGTGAAAGGTAAAAGTCTGCGATTATCTGTGGATGAGCGGATGATGCAGACTGTGTGCATCCAGGTGCGGTTGTCGGTATGTAATCACAGGCTGTGTGATTACTTGAGAACAGGTGCGGAGGGTGGCAACTGTTAATGCATTGTACAGCACCTCTGGCATGCAGCAGATCACATGAGTCTCACGGAGGAAGTCATTAGACTCAGGTGACTGGCCCCATTTCAGGTGTAAAGAAGCAAAGGAGAAACAGTAAATCATGTGGATTCCATGACCTGTGGGGAAAGCCAAGAAAAATGGGTTTATAGGAAAGAGTAACTGTAGGAATTGGGGAGTGGGATGGTTAGTCACTGATGCCTCAGGCCTCAAGAATCTCTATTCTGACATGTTTTGTGACCCACAACCTCACACTTGTAATGAGACGGAAAATAAAGCTGAACATTTACAACCCGACTTATCCATGTTTCATTTTACAAGTGTCCCAAGGTTAACTTTTACACTTGTTGGTATCTCTGTTTCTATTTAATTGGTGTCTGAACCTGTCAAAATTGCAGATATTAGATAACATGATTGATATGATCTGGTGTAAGTAAACTGAATTGATTCTATAGATTATGACATTGTAAACATTATTAATGCTCTGTCAACACTGCTTTACTCAATACACCCAAACATCTGTTTTTCGTACTTATGAAGAAATCTGAAGCAATCTTAATATTTTGGGCTGTATTATCAATAATATATGATTTCATCCCCAGGGCACAGCAGGTCTTGATGGACTAAATGGACAGAAAGGATCTAAGGGTGACAGAGGATTACAAGGACAAAAGGGAGATCCGGTAAGAGTCAATCTATCACATGATTACCTGTGCGTAAGAGGCAGTAAACAAGCAAGTAAATAACAGTAGTATGTAGTAATTGCATCAATGCTGAATGGTCTGACACAAAACAGCTAGAACAAAGTCTTGATTTACACAAATGTGATACGCTGCTTGTGAAAAGAAAATTCTACTATACCTATGGAATGCTAAATTTAAGATTTTTGGTTCACTTCTTCTGTTAATTATCTCTCTAGCTGCTGCTTCTTTAGATCTGATATGTTATGTCGTCTATCATATTTGCTCACTGCATGTCCTCAGAGGTTTACAGTAAACACTCATGCAAATCAGAAATAATAACGTACAGTAGGCTGATTAGCTGGAAAAACCTCAGTGCTTTAGTTTGTGTTTGAATAATACATAGGAAGAAAGACGTTGCCTTATACAAGAATTGTTTCTATATATAGAATATTTGTAAATATTTGCACTGAAAATACATACAGGATTTTAGAACCTAATAAAATGGAGAGCAAATGAGTCAGTCAGTAGAGAAGTATTTAGGGCCGCCATTGCTGATTTGCTGCATGCTTCAGAGTTGTCATCCTTATCTTTGCTTTGCTGTTTAGTGGGTCACTAACCTGAAACAAGTATGTGTATAACTGGTCTCAGCATATCTGATATACATGTTTGCTACAGTTAAAGGACTCAACAAGAAGCAAAGCAAAGATAAGGATGACAGCCATGAAGAATGCAGCTTGAATGAGCAAATCAGAAATGGCAACTTTCATATTCCTGTCCAGACAGGCTGCCTGTAGGTGTGTTTTCTTGACCATACTGCAGGGTCATGCATGGGATGCAAAGCCAACACGGCATCTCAATGCCACATACAGCGATTGTCCATGAGACAAACGGTGGATAAAAATAAAGCTAAACGTAATTGCTAACAAAAACATTTCATAGTCATTTCTTAAATTAAAAACGGCACTATACTTTCCTCCCACTGAGCTGATGAATTGTGTATAAATGTGAATTAGCCTGTTTCCTGATACATTCACCAAGTCAGCAGGGGACACAAATGTTGCAAAACACAACATAAAAAGTGTATCTAACATCAGTGTAATTTTAAGTTGAATAAATATAAAAGACACAAAGCTCTGCATTATTTATTAAATCCTTAAAGAAGAACTCTGGGCAGAATAAAACGTAACCTTTGCAGTGGGGCTACTCCCTCACTGCAAGGGTTAAGTGCTCGTTTTGGTCTAGGGCAAATGTGTCAAACTCAAGGCCCAGGGGCCGAATCCGGCCCACCCGGCCATTTCCTAGACATCTACCTTTCAGATCTAGGTATTAAGTTATTACTAAAACCAGTGATAATCGAATGCAGAGGCAATCATGATAAAGATTAGATACATTTATATAGTCTTACAGGCCCTTTGAGGGCAACTATAATGTTGATGCGGCCCTCGATTAAATTGAGTTTGACACCCCTGGTCTAGGGTGTAAAATAAAAAAGATATACTCACCTAAACCTTGGTACAGCCTGGCTGCTAGACTGGTCCCTGCAGCCCCTCTTCCTCTCGGCTCCTGAGTGGTCACATCTAATACACTGCTCCCCCACTGCTGGAGCGGAGGGGGAGAGAGGCTAGCAAGGACCAAAGTTCGGATAAGTTTTTAAAAATTTTACACCCTAGACCAAAACAAGCAGTTAACCCTTGCAGTACAGGTGTAGCGCCACGGCAGGGGGCAAGGTTAAGTTTTATTCTGCCAGGAGTTCTTTAAGGCCTTGTTCACACCAAATGCAGAGCAGATCCGGTCAGGTTTCTGCACACGCACGCTAGTCTTTTAGATGCATTTTTGACGCGTTTTTGGCTAAAAAATATATATATTTTTTAAAGTTTAAAATGGGCTTTCAGTGCGTTTCAGGCATTTGCATGCGTTTTTGATGCGTTTGCAGATCCAGAGCAGGTAAAATAGGGCCTGTTGCAGTTTTTTCACCTGCTCTGGAACTGCACGCTGCGATGTGAACTAGAGCAAAAAATACCATTGGAATACATTGGACGCAGTTTTGATCCGGTCTGAAACTGATCTGCTCTGCACCTGCTCCACGCTTGGTGTGAACAAGGCCTTACTGTATTCTTTTGAATTCCAGCATATACACACAATGCCAGCTAGGCACTATTAAAAGTTTCTTTTTTTCCATCTAGGGAGAAAAAGGTGACCCTGGATTGGCAGGAGACATTGGTCAGACAGGAGAAAAGGTATTGTCTATTGTTGTTATAAGGATGTCAACATGTTTTTTTCTATATTTCTGTGTAGTGTTTAATAAAAGTAATAGCCTTTGTCAGCACAGAGAGTGCTCATATTGCAACCAATCAGAATTTACTTTATTATAGTCAGATCCAGGCATAATTGATGCTATGTAGTTGCCATGGCTACTGAACTTAGGAGCTAGCACATGGACAATATCGCCATTTAAAAATAAGCACATGAAATTTGAATGTGCTTTGTGAAGTGTCGTGATGTGCATTGTGTGCTGATGTATATAAGCATAGAGGAACTTCACCGCTCCATCCAGCATTGGTCTCTGTCATCTGGGTTCATGCAAGTGCTGGCTAGACGCTGTCCATACTCCACAACGGTACCATGCAAAGGAAGAGCCACACACCGTCTGTTTACCATCCATATGCTTTATTTTATCCAAACTCCAACTTCTAACTTGTTGGAAGTTGGAGTTTACATGAAATAAAGCATGGTGGTGAACAGGTGGTCTGCAGCTCTTTATTTGCAAGTATGCTGATGTGTCATGCACCATAATGCATTGTGCAGAACAACACATGAACATGCATGAAAACACGTCAATGCACATTAATCGGGCTTGTTAAAATGGGACTTAAACTGAATATGGACTCCCTTAGACTTTTAAAAGTTTAAGTCCTGCCTAAGAGCATATACCACAAGATGCCTGATATTATCTTAGAAAAGCAATTTCCGTACCCCTCTCTGATTTAGTTTTACTTTGATACTAGATCCTGACTTTTCTGACTTTATTCAATTAAGAAGGCAGGAGAAGTGAACACTCTAGGCCAAAATAGCCGATTTGGAAAAGTTCTCCAATTCAGCTCACTTTCCAGTTCAGCTATGTTGTCCTAGATTGTTAGTTTGGTTTTGGGGAGGGTGGGTTCTCACTCTCTCTCCCCCACTCTCTCCCTCTCTCTCTCCTCCCATGCTCAACTCCAGAACTTCTCCAGAGTCTCTCCCATCCTCTGGATCCTGCCTGGCTGTCTTATAATCTGTCTGCCTTTAGGCAATCCCTGAAAACTCATCTCTTCAGGGAAGCCTATCCCGCCTCTACCTAACAACCGAACTCTAACTTGCTCACATAACTCATTCGCACACAGCTAACACCTTATGTATCACTTGCCCCTCTCTTTTGGATTGTAAGCTCTTACAATCAAAACCCTTAACCCTTTTGTCTTGAAATATATTGTAACTGTACTGTCTTCCGTTATATTGTAAAGCACAGTGAAAACTGTTGGGGCTATAGTAATGTGTAATGTAATGTGTGCTGTGAATGGACCCTTAAAGGTGTTCAATTTTTATTTTACAAATAAACATTTAATGCATGAAAAAGGATTCCCTGATGAAACTGAGTCCTTTGATAAGGGAGATACTCCAATGAGTGATTCGGTTCTCTGTGCAAACTTTACCTTAAAGGCTAAGTCCACCTTTTAGACCATGCTTAATGTTATACCCATAGGTAGGTTTAACATGATGCAATATCCCCAAAACCTAAACCACCGCCCAACCTGAATCATGGTGTGCTTCTCCATGGAGGAATTAGTGATTTTAAAAAAAAATTTAGACCATCTAGCCACATCATCCAGATTTGGAATTGTTTACTAACATTACTACAAGTTCCATCTACCACTTCAGCAGAGGGACCATGCGGAGCGTGATGGTAACCCCTCCTCTGGCTTTCCACTCTGTAGTTCATCACACTTCCTCCAACAGGCTGCTATGTGCGGACCTGAGGCTGGGGGAAAGCTTTGCAGAAGCTTGCGTGCTCCATTGCAAAAAAAATATTACATGCACATTGAGCATTAGATAAATATTGCTGAATTTACTACTTATTTCACACGGTTGAATTTTTCTAGCTACTGATCTCTAAAAATTACAGGCTTTTATGAGCCAAAGTTATAATACTATAGATATAGAGTCATTTCTTTCTATGGCGGGCAGTGAACTCATGGTATAAGAAAAGTCATGATGCATGGCTAACACAGTTTAAAAGACTAATTGTAAAGGCAAAGACACCTCTTGTTGCTTGTGTATCCCTATATTAGAACTCCTCTGCAATAGTAGTACATAAATTGTACAGCTCACACACGTTATATAAATAATATACATATATACTGTGTGTGTGTGTGTGTGTGTTAACTTTGTGGTGAGCCGTTTCATTTTTACAACCTCCTAATGTAAAATCTTCAGAACTTGTTTGACCCAATAGAGATGAATCACATCAGTAAGCAATTATAATTTTCTTAATGATGGCATGCGGCTAGAGACTGAAGAGAGATCCTTGTCGAATAACTGATATATTTTTTTATTTTAAGTTCACTGTCTCCAAGCACCTTAATAAGCTATTTATACATGGAAAGTGTGATCACAGCTCAAGAGGATGTTGCTTTGTTGTAATTGAAATGAGTATTGTGTTTTTAATGTAGTCCAGATTTAGTTAGATATATATTGTTATAAAATAACGTTTAAAATATTTGAAGTTGTTACAACTGTAATGTCATAAAAAACATTTATGCAAAAATTAATAGAAAGAAAAACAAGGTTGCACTTTATTAAACCAATAGGTCCCCATGCAACACAGAAAATGAATGAATGTGTATAGTTCCCAATGGGAAAAGACTCTTCTTTGCTATTCTCATTTAGTTTTACTTTGTTATTAGTAGCCTGACTTTTATCTCAAAGTGCCAGTGCTGAAAATAAGTTTAGTATTGTAATGCAGTTTGGGCGCTGGGGTTAAAGAAACGTTCAACATCACTGCCTTAGGCCTCTAGCGAGGAGGAAGCAGCCGTCTAACCTGCCTGTTTAGAGGCCGCTGCCTGATTGTGACTGGCCCGGATCGCGTAGCATCTAGGACTAATAGCAATGGATGGCGCCATGTACATCACGGATGGCGCCATGTACATCCATCAGTAGAAAACAAAGATCACCAGCACTCACAGGATGACGTTCAAAATTAGGTGTTCATTTATTCAAACACACTGTCACAGATATCACATAGCCAACATTTCAGGGTCGCACAGGGTCCCTTCATCAGGGCACTATGTTGCACTATGTTGCCCTGATGAAGGGACCCTGTGCGATGTGATATCTGTGACGATGTGTTTGAATAAATGAACACCTAATTTTGAACGTCATCATTTCAGTGCTGGTGATCTCTGACCAATACATGTTCTCTAAACCTACATTGTTCATCTCATAAACTGTAGAACCATTGTCGAAAATAATTACAAAATATGCTTTGACCTCAGACTGATGTGTGCAGGAATAAACACCCTTAAGGAAAGTTACAACCTTGGGCACTATTAGAACCTTAAGCATTTCCATAGATGTGGAAACAAGGTACAAAAACAAGAAGTGTATTAACCTCACACAAGGTGGGATTTACTCACAGGGCAAATATGAGTTGTTTTGCAAGCAAATTTGCCCTGCTCAATAAAGCCCAACTCCCTCAAAAACATTAAAATGTTACCCTGGGAGAGAGCAGAAAGGGATCAGCATCTCTCTGAAGTTTTCCCTGCTGCCTGTGTCCCCATTGGGGATACTCTTCCCCCACCTCAATTTGCTTTATTTAAAAGTATCAGTCAAAAGAGAAAAAAAATATTGTAGACGGGTTTTATTGCTGTCTAGAGAGATTTCGCTTCACTTCCTGCCCACATGACAGATGCCAGTCAATACAATGAAGGGGATATCTCAGGGATTCAGATAGCTTTTTTTTTTTTAAATGACAGAGGTTGTAACCGTTTCCATGCCATGGATAATATAGTAGTACAGTATGAAATATTACAGTTTAATATATTCCAGATATGCTGATATAACAGTGTTTTATTTTGCAGGGAATGCAAGGTTACCCTGGCAAAACAGGTGAACCTGGCATAAAAGGTGCAAAGGTAAGTACATTTAATGTACTTACATTGGATTCAAGGGTGATTTCAACTGGAAACCCATCAAAACAGTTTTATTAATATATCTGCTGCACTTGGGCCTCAGTATTGTCTCAGCAGGTATAGAAAATGCACATTATCTTTCCGTTGGGTTTGGTGAAGGTTTATTTTAAATATAGGAAATTAATAATAGTTAGCTTTAAGTAGTTAAATGTTAAAGTGACACTAACTCAGGAATCAAATCTTCAAAATACATTCAAGTAACTGAACTATTAACAAAAATGTATCTTATTTGTGTATCACTCTGCTATAGATCCTCAAATAATCTCTGAATTCATACTGACACTGTCCTTCTTTCTGGAGGGTGGCTACTTGTGTTCTCTATGGTCCCTATGTGTTTTAATGTAGCCTTCGCTCCAAGATCACTCCCGTGATGGGCTATAATCTCATATTTAAGTTACCTATTTTTATATGAGATTCTAGTCCATCACTGGAATTTATTCATGGAATAATTTCACACAGTTTTAATATGTGTCCCCTTCCTTACTGTCGAAAAACAAGTTCAAATAACAATGATAGTAGAAGCAGAAAATAATAATGCAATTAGTCCACTGGATTATGTCCCTATTTTGGAAGGGAGCAATTTCCCATACTAGGACAGTATAAATTAACAATTATTTTCCAATTAGATTTTGTTAGCTCAGCAAAGTGGGCCAATTGAGAGCATAGAAGGAAGTCTGTGTTAATACAGTTGAAAATTGCATTTTGTGGTGTATCCAGTCACAATAAGACTGACTCCCTGTGCTTCCAGATCATGGAACATATGATGTACACAACAAGCCACATACCATATTAAATATAGGCTCTAGACCAAGGGTGGGCAACCTCCAGCTGTTGTGGAACTACAAGTCCTATGAGGCATTGCAAGACTGAGTTACAGGCATGACTCCCAGAGACAGAGGCATGTTGGGATTTGCAGTTAAAGCACAGCTGGGGGGCCAAAGTTTCCCACTCCTGCTCTAGACAGTTGGGTATCCTTGCTGACAGATTATCTCTTGGTAAATATTGACGTTTTGGCAGCCTTGATTATGTATTCATACTTACATACAAGGTAAAATGTCCACATGTACACAGGTTATGTATGGACTTCTTCATCCTATGCCAAACTACAAGGCTTAGTTAAATTGAATGACCACCAAATGGATGCTATAGGTTGGAATTTTAGAGAATTGCTACCAGTTACTGGTTTTGTGTACTATTGATACTAGTTTCTAGTAATTTGCTGAAGTGTATTTTTATTAATATTGGCTCAGCATTTTTAATAGCTGGGTCCACAAAGAATAATTCATCTGGACACTTTATTAGAACTGCCTTGTAATCTGGAAAAGTTAAAGGTTGCTTCTCTGTGATTAACACAGTTAGACTTCGGTCCAATAACCTTCAGGGTCGCACAGGGTCCCTTCATCAGGGCACTATGTTGCACTATGTTGCCCTGATGAAGGGACCCTGTGCGATGTGATATCTGTGACGATGTGTTTGAATAAATGAACACCTAATTTTGAACGTCATCATTTCAGTGCTGGTGATCTCTGACCAATACATGTTCTCTAAACCTACATTGTTCATCTCATAAACTGTAGAACCATTGTCGAAAATAATTACAAAATATGCTTTGACCTCAGACTGATGTGTGCAGGAATAAACACCCTTAAGGAAAGTTACAACCTTGGGCACTATTAGAACCTTAAGCATTTCCATAGATGTGGAAACAAGGTACAAAAACAAGAAGTGTATTAACCTCACACAAGGTGGGATTTACTCACAGGGCAAATATGAGTTGTTTTGCAAGCAAATTTGCCCTGCTCAATAAAGCCCAACTCCCTCAAAAACATTAAAATGTTACCCTGGGAGAGAGCAGAAAGGGATCAGCATCTCTCTGAAGTTTTCCCTGCTGCCTGTGTCCCCATTGGGGATACTCTTCCCCCACCTCAATTTGCTTTATTTAAAAGTATCAGTCAAAAGAGAAAAAAAATATTGTAGACGGGTTTTATTGCTGTCTAGAGAGATTTCGCTTCACTTCCTGCCCACATGACAGATGCCAGTCAATACAATGAAGGGGATATCTCAGGGATTCAGATAGCTTTTTTTTTTTTAAATGACAGAGGTTGTAACCGTTTCCATGCCATGGATAATATAGTAGTACAGTATGAAATATTACAGTTTAATATATTCCAGATATGCTGATATAACAGTGTTTTATTTTGCAGGGAATGCAAGGTTACCCTGGCAAAACAGGTGAACCTGGCATAAAAGGTGCAAAGGTAAGTACATTTAATGTACTTACATTGGATTCAAGGGTGATTTCAACTGGAAACCCATCAAAACAGTTTTATTAATATATCTGCTGCACTTGGGCCTCAGTATTGTCTCAGCAGGTATAGAAAATGCACATTATCTTTCCGTTGGGTTTGGTGAAGGTTTATTTTAAATATAGGAAATTAATAATAGTTAGCTTTAAGTAGTTAAATGTTAAAGTGACACTAACTCAGGAATCAAATCTTCAAAATACATTCAAGTAACTGAACTATTAACAAAAATGTATCTTATTTGTGTATCACTCTGCTATAGATCCTCAAATAATCTCTGAATTCATACTGACACTGTCCTTCTTTCTGGAGGGTGGCTACTTGTGTTCTCTATGGTCCCTATGTGTTTTAATGTAGCCTTCGCTCCAAGATCACTCCCGTGATGGGCTATAATCTCATATTTAAGTTACCTATTTTTATATGAGATTCTAGTCCATCACTGGAATTTATTCATGGAATAATTTCACACAGTTTTAATATGTGTCCCCTTCCTTACTGTCGAAAAACAAGTTCAAATAACAATGATAGTAGAAGCAGAAAATAATAATGCAATTAGTCCACTGGATTATGTCCCTATTTTGGAAGGGAGCAATTTCCCATACTAGGACAGTATAAATTAACAATTATTTTCCAATTAGATTTTGTTAGCTCAGCAAAGTGGGCCAATTGAGAGCATAGAAGGAAGTCTGTGTTAATACAGTTGAAAATTGCATTTTGTGGTGTATCCAGTCACAATAAGACTGACTCCCTGTGCTTCCAGATCATGGAACATATGATGTACACAACAAGCCACATACCATATTAAATATAGGCTCTAGACCAAGGGTGGGCAACCTCCAGCTGTTGTGGAACTACAAGTCCTATGAGGCATTGCAAGACTGAGTTACAGGCATGACTCCCAGAGACAGAGGCATGTTGGGATTTGCAGTTAAAGCACAGCTGGGGGGCCAAAGTTTCCCACTCCTGCTCTAGACAGTTGGGTATCCTTGCTGACAGATTATCTCTTGGTAAATATTGACGTTTTGGCAGCCTTGATTATGTATTCATACTTACATACAAGGTAAAATGTCCACATGTACACAGGTTATGTATGGACTTCTTCATCCTATGCCAAACTACAAGGCTTAGTTAAATTGAATGACCACCAAATGGATGCTATAGGTTGGAATTTTAGAGAATTGCTACCAGTTACTGGTTTTGTGTACTATTGATACTAGTTTCTAGTAATTTGCTGAAGTGTATTTTTATTAATATTGGCTCAGCATTTTTAATAGCTGGGTCCACAAAGAATAATTCATCTGGACACTTTATTAGAACTGCCTTGTAATCTGGAAAAGTTAAAGGTTGCTTCTCTGTGATTAACACAGTTAGACTTCGGTGCAATAACCTGAGACTGTAAAATATGTTTCCAAAAAGTGAATGTAATGGAGATAGCATTCTGACAGGCTTTCTGCAGTGCGGAAGAGGTCAAGAAACAATGAACTAAACTTCAGATTTATCCCTGCAAACATGAAAAAATGAGGGAACATTTCAAGACAAGGCTTTAGCAGAGAATTATCGGTGCGTGACTGTAACAGCACCAATTAAAGTCATGCACCAACACATCCCAGATCCATTTCAAAGTTATAGTTTCCTCTGGTATAAATTTGATCATTTTTACATTTCATACTATCCTTTCAGACCTAATCATTTCCTCTGGACTTTTCCATAGCTGCATGTTATTTAATGACTTTCAGAATGTATGCCTGAAAGATAATTGTCTGTGCCTATGAACAAACTGCTATAATAGTGTTTACATGTAAAAATACATACTTTTTCAGTTTTCTAGAAGAAATTCAAACAATGTTTTTCTTCTGTTTGACAAATGGACAATCTTAAACAACCTTTCTTCTGTTACTACCCAAAATCCATATTTAACCAGGCCAGCACATATCTAAAGTTATATTTATATCTATATGCAGGGTGAAATTGGAGGACAAGGAAATCCTGGTCTACCTGGCTCTCAAGGTCCACCTGGACCAAAGGTTAGTAAGACGTTTCTTCTGTCAAATAAATAGGAACTCAGATATCAGGTTTGTAATAGAATCACAGCGAAAATGTTACTTTCATTCAAACCAAAGGGCTGCTGTACGGGCTATTTACTATAAACAGCACAGCAGCCAAAGGCGGCCGAGCAGCTCAGCCGAGCTGAAGGCATATGCCGAAGTGACAGCCGAAGCGGGGAGAACGCCGTTGGCCCCGCAAATGACAGCTAAGCAGAGCCAGCTGTGATGACAGATCAGCGTCCTCAAATAACCTGGGGACGCTGAACTGTCATTAAACCATAACAACTGGCTGAAGCCGGCTGTGACCTCAGGGCCGGCTTCGCCCAGTTGTTATTCATGACTGGGACCTCCTAGAAGACTCTAGCAGGTGTCAGGCAATAGGAAACAGTTGGGCGGAGCTAGCTGTCACTTCTAGCTCCACCCAATTGTTTTTCTTTTTTTCTATTATTTTTTTCTTTTTTGAAATATCTGCTTTTTTTACTATTTATTTACATAAAAAATGTCAACTTTTTTTTTTCAACTGTTTTCACTGATTTCCTATTCTGCTCGGTACCACGGAGGTACTGAGCAGAATAGCCAAGCAGAATGCCGCTCGGCAGCATATTCACTATTCACCAGCCCCTATTCGGCATAGGGGCTATTCACTCACTTCTGTCCAGCCCCTATGAGAATAGGGGAGAACGGCAGCAAGTTAGCTGCCGGAGCTTCGGCTCAGCCGATCCAGATGTTGGATCAGCTGAGTCGAAGTCCTTCTGCACTCTGGCTCAACCGGACATGCAGAGCATGTTCGGCTGACCGACGGCAGCCATACAGAGCCCGATGTATGTCTGATTTCAGCCGATGTAGCTGTAAAAGTCAGAAATGAATAGCCAACAGTGTTTGGCTCACTTCACTTCGGTTATTCACGAGCTACTACCACAAATCTCTCCTAGATTCAACAAGACTGGATGCCATAGTGTAACGTTATGGGGAGTTCTGCTCTCCGGATTTCTTCTTAAAGATTACCCCCCTCTATTGATTATATTGTCTCTTACGAAGGGGTGAATTTGCATATAAATAGGGGAAAAGGGGGGGCACTTTGTCTAATTTTCAAATGAAATAATTTAAAATTGTGCTTATATATACAATACATTATAACATATATTATTATAATGTGTGTGTGTCTGTAGTGGGCCAGTGGACCACTTTGCCAGTTTACTGGAGATGGGATAGCAAATTAAACAACTCCCACACAATTTTTTTGGGGGGGATCTGGTCCTACAGGGATGACTGGTGCCCAATAGCACCGGGCAGGTGTTTTGAAATCATCATTTTTGGAGCACACCAATTGAATCACCTTCCTGGGCTAAAAGGCATATGGATAGCATGAGCAGATGAATGCTGACACAGCTGATTTTTGATGCCTACTCACTCTACTGCTAGCTTTAAATAAGACATTCACTACAAAATAACATTTGTATTTATTTTACAGGGGGAAAAGGGAGCAAAAGGAATTGATGGGCTTAATGGGGATCAAGGAGAAAAAGGAGAAAAGGTATATGAAGTTGTGATATCATTGGGATCCCTTTTCAGCCATGCACCCTAGATGTACCCTCGCCCATTTTGTTCATTTGGTCACAGTGCAGTAATTTGTGTCTTCCAGTCTTTTATTTTGGTATTTGCTACATTATGATAGGTTTATTTTATATATATCAGGGTTCCAAGTGGAAATGTTCACATTTTCATAAGGCTACCCCGGGGTAATCCCTGTTCACTTATTTACACACTGGATTGTCAAGATTGTGTTTTTTATTACTCACTACAAGGGATCCAGAGAAATATGCATAAAGAAATCCCTTACATTTGCTTTCCTGAACAGTTTGCTTAAAGTGCCCCTGCACCAAAAATAAAAGTTATCCTACCAAAAAAACTTGAACATGTAAGGTGAGTTTAGCGTTCAGTTCAATGTCTTCTTCCATGCACTGCATCTGCACTGCTAGTTGGTAAGTGACGTGGCTGAAATCTTTACCACATGTTTTTCACACAGGTTAATTGTGTTGAAGGGGCAGAAACCTGTCATGAAATTTACCTTACATAATGAAGATGGATTCACTGCTCACCACTGACCACCTTTATAATTAATAAACATTTTGTTCAGTCTTCAATGTTTGTGCAGAAAATCAAGGAAATCAGTTTAGCATCTTCAAATGTCCCTAGGGTAATAAAGGATCCCATGGACTAAGTGGTTTCAGAGGGCCAATTGGACAACTAGGACCAGTGGGTGCCTCTGGAGCTCAGGGACCTGAAGGGCCAAGAGGAGATCCAGGGCAAAAGGTAAGATGGAGGTGGGACATTCATAATAATACCTACATGCACGTTTTCATGCTATAAAAACATATATTAGATGTACTATATAATATATAATACCAGCTATGGTATGGCCAGGTATGCTTAGAGATACTGTTACTCAACTAATCAATCAGTGACAAGTAGTAAAGTGTATAACTGGAAAACTGTTGCTCAGTATCTTTGAAAATGCCCCACTTGATTTTGATGATCATGTGCTCTACACTTGCTCCAAGAAAGCAACAGGATGCAACAGGCTAACAGCAACCCTACTCTAAAAACAGGGGCAGATGGATTACAGATTAACATTTGTTCCCTTTCGCCTCTCCTTGCACTGCTGAACAGAGATGGATATTAAAGTAGGTCAGGCACCACAAAATACTGCCCTTCTGCTCCTTTTTTATGGAAAACAGACAAGGACAAAGACTTTCGTTGGTGTAAGTGCTAAACTAAGTCAAAGATATGAGATGAACATTGTACAATGTGGTCACCTACAGTCAGATCAGGAAACTATTGCATGTCTTTAGAGACCTAGCAACCTCTGTAAGCACCCATTGGCAAACCAATCTGAGAAGAATCTCTTAGATTTTTGCTAGTAATCCCCTGGAAAACATGGCTGACAGTAGAGGTGTCTGCTCAATGCATTAGCTTGTAAACTCATGTGAAAGAATGATGCATGTTTATGTCACAAAGATTGTGTAGCAGTTAGCTCTTCTGAATGCCATCTCATGTCTATTGATATTGTCTAGGTGCAGCTGTGATAGGTTCCCTCTTCAATACTAACCAGAAGTGATAGGTGGCCCTCTCTTGTAAGGAGGAGCTACATATTAATAACACATCTATGTTGGGGCATAGGTAATATACGTAGATTTTGTGTAACTGCCAGGTATAAACCTTTCTGTTTTGCTTTCACAGAGACATTTAGCAGTAGAGAAATGTGCTTTTAGCAGCATGTTAAAATAATGTAACAACACATTAAAGTACAATGATGAAATGTATTAACACTAACCAAAAAAAAAATGAATGTCCTTTTTAGCATTTTCTTCTTGTGGTTTTTGTGAATGCACTAAATTAAAAAGCATAGTTTAGCTTATTCTGTCTGACCTAATGGAGAGAGGTGAGTTCCTAAAAGCCTATTAATGCATTATTTATTACCTAAAATGAAATAATATAAAGAATAAGACTCCACATGTGTTTTAGACCATATTTCCCTTTGTTCGGTAACTTTTTCTTCCTTTGATAGGTTTAGATTTTAGACTTTTTATATTGTAATCATCTCTTTAGTATGCGTTTGACAATTATGCTATATTTTTGCGAGTTTGCTAAACACTGAAGGCCATCTGAATTTCAAATACTGCAATACACAATAGTGAAATTATAGAAAAAAGAGAAGATAACTTATTCAGAGGTCCTATTAAATTGGAACTCCAGCCAAACAATTGTTTGTGGGTAACTCTTAGTACTTTTTATTGCTGTGTTTTTATTGGGGAGATCCCCTCACTTTCTGCTTGGTGATCACTAGGAATGCACCGATACCGATTCTAGTATCGGTACTCTGGATGCCTGTCATATGCTTTGGATGCCAATCCCAATACCAGAACTCCCGGTATCAGGAAGCCGGATGGCAAGTCATTACACGGTGTCCTGATTGTTACCAGGGAGCCTGGAGCTGGCTTCCCGGCCAATCAGGAAGTAGGGGGGCGGGTAATGACTCTCCCCCCAGCCTCCTGATTAGCTGGGAAGCTGGCTCCATATTCCCTTGTTGTGTTGCTGCCATCAATTTCAAAATTACCTTATTTTTTTCTTAAAATGTTACATTTTCTCAGTTTAAAAATTGAATATGCTTCCTATTTTCTATTGTGAATAAAATATGGGTTTATGAGATTTGCAAATCATTCCATTCGGTTTTTATGTAGATTTTACACAGTGTCCCAACTTTTTAGGAATTGGGGTTGTAGTATGTAAAGGTAAATCACACATGCATGATGTTTTACTATATCAGTCCTCAATTTTGGGAATCACTAATAATAGGGTTGGCTGAAAGTCTCACCACCTGAACTGGAATGCACTTTCTTTAATTGTAGTCAGTAATGGATATTTGACTAGAGTAACAAAACCATGAAAATGAGCACAACTTAATGTAACTACAGCAATGTAGTACAAAAAGAAGCTGCAAACCACAGTTTACCACTTGTGTACAGCAATCAATAAAAATCCAGCATCCACCATGAAAGGAATACTCACCCAGCAGCTGCTCACCTCTTACACTTTTCACCCTTATGGGCTTAGTCATAGATATTTCCACGACTACGCCTGTAAGGGTGAAACGCATAAGAGGTGGGCGTCTGCTGGGCAGGGATTGCTTTCATGGACGCTAGATTTTTATTGATTAAAGTACACAAGTGGCAAACTGTGGTTTGCAGCTTCTTTTTGTACTAAATTGCTGTTTTGGAGGGTGGACGGTTCTGGGTTGGCACCCGCATACACCTGGAGGGTGGTGGTTACTGTTGGATGGAGTGGTAAAGGTTTTTGTTGTTTGCACATATTAATGTAAACGCAGTTACTCCTAAATGGTGTGTATATACGAAACTGAGGTAAACTACACAACAGCAACTACTGAGATAATTTCAATGATGACTGCAGTGTACATAAAACACTTACTTATGTCCTGTTAACAGGGTGAAAAAGGGAAGAGAGGAAAGTCATTGCCCTGTCCCAGGGCAGATCCAGGAACACCTGGAACAAAGGGAGAAATGGTAAGTAAATTAAAAAAAAATGTTTTTACATTACTGTACTGTACACTGTGCATCTATTTAATATTACTACCTCTAAGCAATCTGCATCCACAAAGCAGGTCCCCCCCCCCCCCCACACACACACACACACAACTTTTCTAACAGCACAGGGCATTCCTTCACCCAATCCCAGCAGCTAAACAGATTGGGAGGTGAGCAGCAAAGGTTAGTAACATGGTTCTGGAGGTGAAGGGAAGTTAAGTGAACCTTTTACTATGCTCTGTATATATTACAATTACAAAGGTTTCTGTAGAAACACACTTAAGTACCATGGTGTCACAATGACTCAAGCTAAATTCCAAAGATAAATTATTTGTAGCTGTTGAATATGACTACTTCTCTCCACAGCATGTTATACATGAGTGTTTCTGAACTAGAAAAAAAACATGGCTCCAATGATACAATAATGTTCCCAATGAAATGTCTGTTCTATTTAAAGGACAGCTTTGTTATTGGTTGGTGAAGTTGTCTTTTGGTAAAGACCGCCCC